GGCAGTGTGCACTGGGTCTTACACAGGTGATGTTTTAAAGATTGTAATCAACTTGCATGACTCTCAGCACGTCGTGCTAATAAAAATCCTGCGTATTTTGTGGGAAAGTTTACTCTGAAAAATAACGCTCGCGCTAGTTTAAGATAAGATCAAGAGATTTCAAAAAAATAATTATCACATTTAGATTTCTGAAGTACTCGTTCCCATGAAAACTTGATGTCAGGCGTCACATGCACAGTATTTTTGTGGCTCTTGTTGATGCAAACATCCGGCTCTTTTCTCAAAGAAAAAGCATTCGACTTGCCGAGAGGGATCCAAGCTGAGAGGATAGTTCTTGAAACCTCACCCCTCCCTATAAAGACACCAAACAAACAAACAAACAAACAAACAAACAAACAAACAAACAAAATCAACCAAACAAAACAAAATAAAGTACCAAAAAAACCAAACTCAACTGATATCGACCTTACTCCAACCTTAACTTAAAACAGCGACACGTATGTTAAGTTCTGAATCAACAGTTTCATACCAAGCAGCAGTTACTTATTATTACTTACGGTACTTTTCCCTTCTTTTTATACCGTTACATGGAGGAAAGGTGCATACTTCGGTCAAAGGCTAGGTGGGTGACTTCTGTTGTAGAAATATTATCCAGCTGAAGGACTTCTTTGGCGCCATGATATCCAACCAACGTTTTCGTGGTCTGCCTCCGCTTTTAATATGTGATCGCTTTTAAGCACAAGGGGGCTCTCAAGAAAAATGCTGTTTTAAGAAAAGATTGTAAAGTTTTTGTCCCTTGTTCAGTTTCTTTAAAAGACAAAGAGAGCTTTCTCTATAATCAAACGAATAAACACACCAATGAAACAAAACTTCTCCTATAGGTAGGGCAATGCCCACTTTTGGTGCAGGTCAAAATTTCTGGAAACACCCGAAATCTGGGTTAGCCCGCTTGTTCTTGAAAACGACCATTTCATAGCACGATTGTCTTCCGTTGCCATGCATATTATTGGTGCAGCTGGTTGATTTGAGTGTATGGAGATGGGGACGTGTGTGGTTTTTGTGTGTGTGTGTGTGTGTGTGTGTGTGTGTGTGTGTGTGTGTGTGTGTGTGTGTGTGTGTGTGCGTGTGTGTGTGTGTGTGTATGTGGGGGATGGTTCTCATTAGATGACTGAATCACTAATTCATTCTCTGATGTTCAGTATTATGCTCCATGACTGGTTTCATCTCTGTTAATTTACAGATGGTTTGTTTGTTTTCAAGCAGCATTCATGTTGAAAAGGTATGGGTAGTCTTGTTCTTAGGCTAACGGACAGGTACAGGTGAGATTACGAGTTTGGAGGTTCGAAACTCGGCTCGGTCCGACGTTGTGTCCTTGTGTCACTATACACGAACCTCCCCATTTGGGTTGGTCCTTTCGGATATGGACTTTCCTTGGAGGCCCCGACTTTTAAATAACTTAATTGTGTTGACAGAGGCGTTAATAAACCGATGCCATTTAACATTTCGAATTCCACGATGATAATATATACCATTTCACATTTCCATTTCCATGATGGTATATGTGAGGCAGCGTGGTGGAATCAGGCTTTCGTCAATTTTTGGTCATGTAGAGTTATTGGTATCATCTTGAAGCTTGTTCACTTGTCTTTATTTGGATGAAAACAATATCCATTTGTCTTGAATACAAGTCCAGATATTTATGAAAGAAGGAGGTGGGGGTCACCTGTTTTCAGAGGCAAAATTAGTGAGAAAATAACCGCCAAAGATTAGTTATTTCCTTAGCTTAAGAGTCCGTGGTAACTGAAAATTTACATTTTGTGTGCCTTTAATCAACATTTTTCAGAAAAATCCACACAGAAATTAGTTCTTTAATGGGCTTGAAAAAGGTGTTGAGCCAAAAAAACAAAAATTTGATAAAAATTCACAAACCTGCGGTAAAATGCAAGTTTCTTCTCTTTGATTATTTTGACGAGAGCCTGATTCTACCACGCTGCCTCACATATACCATTTCACATTTCCATTTCCACGATGATACATACCATTTCCCATTTCCATTTCCACGATGATAAAAGGAACAATTAGAACTACAAAGCGCGAGCAGAAAACGAACACTACGTACGAAGTACCAAAATCCGTACTTTATTCTCCACAGAAAATCATTGAGTTTTTCAAACACACAAGCTGGATGTGAAAAGCAAAGATTGTGAAATATTTGGTGAAAAATCGATCATTAAAACAATACTTATGACAATGTTTAAAACGAGTGACAACGACACCACGACTGTTGGCTGTGATGATGAAAACTACGATGATAGTGAGGGTGATAATGCTGATAATTATGATAACGACGAGAAACATGACAATGATGGCAGCGATTGTGAAAATGTCGATGACAGAAATATTGAGAAAGATCATGCACCAGAAAAGAATATTTGTAGGTGCATCTAAAGTCAAATAAATGAATTATAATTATGGTCGTGCAGTTTAAGATCTGAGCAAAAATCCCATCAAGATAATTTGATACCTACGTGAGCAGACGAAATATTACAACCATCACGAACAAACAGCTTTAAATATCAGTGTGAAGCTTTACAGTCAGGTGATTTGCACAACAGAATATTGCTGATTATGCAGGCGCCTTTCATTGGTGAGTAGAATAATAACTTATTAATCATATTAAGGTATTATTACATCGTATGATTATAAAGTCTTATATCACAGGCAAACTTAGTGAGGTTTACATTGTATACAAATTACATGTAGTATCACACACACTTTCGTGAGAGTAAATAAAATGTTAATTGTCAAAGGAGAGACCATAATAACGTATCACAGAGGGCTAAGATTAGTGACAATAATAATATATTATCTTCCCGATACCCCATCACAAACGTAACAGAGAGAGTACAAGGAATAATAATGAGCAGATTTGTATAAGGAAAGGATAATAATAATTTTATCCACATGAAATCATTATTCATAACTTAAGAATACATTTCATTTTGAAATCAATTTCGATGGACCTTCTGCGTTCCACACTATAATTTGATATTAAGAAGACAAAAATAACAGGCACAAAATCGAATAAGGCTATTTACATTCTTGGCAACATCGGAATAGGACTGTTATAACTCAAAGTATTATAACACAGGCAAAGATCTTCTGGCAGCTACAAAAATATCCACAAAGAAGGAAGCTAAATATATCACAATTTAATCAAAGGAAATCTTAGAAAATGACACACTGAGACAAATGATTTATTGTGCTACTATTGTTATTAAAATTAGAAAGACGCAGACGGAGAGACTAATTATAATCAATATTATTATCAACTTATTTCCTAACAAATACTTAGAGAAAAGTAGTTAGCTAGTCACTCTTAATTAATTATCGTATTTATTTTTTAAATTACTTTTCAGTATGAAATCGGGAACTTTTTTAAAAAGTATAATAATAATTAGATGTATTGTAAATGTTTCAGAAAATCATATCCTTATTTCAAAGTTCGAAGTGATTATATTGTTAAAACGCAGCATAATGTAGACATTGGAAAAGTTATTGTCATGATTCTATCATTTCCCCCTTTCGGTGTCGTAGTAATTCATAGCATAATATACGGAAGACAATATGACATTCTTCTAAATCCTTGTTCAAAACGACAGGTTTATTCGAGACACATCTGGGGTGTAATTTCTATCTCCGAAAGGAATGCATAAAGGGGTACGCAAACTACCAGAACAATCCAAGTTCAAGAAAGTTTTGTTAGGGATTGGAACAAAGCTCGTCAGCATCGTAATCCAGCGTAATACCTTGCAGACAATTTGTGAACGATCGTCTCGTATATTATTAGGCAGCGTGGTTCAGTCGGGCGTTCGTCAAAATCGTGGAAGCTGGCATTTTTCTGGCTGTTGGGCAATTTTTTTTTTCTCGAATCTTCTTTACCCTGGTCAGTATCATCTATGTCTATTTAAGATCACATTTCTAGGTGGATTTTTTACTGAAAACCCTTAATCCAAGACACAAAAAATGTGAATTTGATGTTTTCAAGGAGACTCAAGCTCTGGAAGTCACCAAAATGTGAATTTGATGTTTTCAAGGAGACTCAAGCTCTGGAAGTCACCAACATTTGACGATCAGTTTCTGGCTTAATTTAACCTCAGACTCCAGGCAACGTCCACCTGCTTAAATCGCAAATATTGCGATACCTATTCCAAAATAAAAAAATCACTTTTCCGCCAAATGCAAGACAAAAGAACAAGCTTTAAGGTGTTACTAATAACTCCATATGACAAAAAATTTACGAGCAGCTGACTCCACCATGTTGCAACACGTATATAACTAGGGATCTACCGGACGGTAGTTTTCAAGGGCGCATGATTTGGCAAAACCGAATGCCCGTTCAGCTACAGCTCACACAGAGCAGATTGGCTAGGAATTAAACAATTAACAACCCCCCCCCCCCTCCAAAAAAAAAAAAAGAAAGAAATGAACACAACCTTGAAAAAACACCCTAAACACACAGAAAAGGAAAGCAGTGTCAAGTTGCTATTTCGTTTCAAAGTGCCAAACTACATCTACAACAATAAATGTACAGCTGTGAACATCTACGTCGATGTGCAAAAAAGCTACTTTGCTAGGTAAGCGAGGTTTTTAATTTACAAAATGACTAGTTTGCTGATCTAAATCATAAAGTGATCTATAATAACCCAAATCCTGAACGAATGTCCCGAAAATAATGCTGGAGCAAAAAGCAGTGACACATTCCTAGAAAAATATTGTGTTCGAGAATGTTAATGCAGAGAGCTATATAAAACAAATATACAAACCATCCACCCACCCATTAATCCATCTTGTGTGTGTCACCACAACGTTATAAATTGTTTCGTAAAATGCAAGATATGTGAGACTCTCACAATGTTAATAATCTACCAAAGGTACACTGAAAACATATTCCGTCTGTAACTGTAAGTATTTTCCCTTTGAATTTTTCTTTCTTATACTCTAAAGACCCAACGTTCTTGGTCTAATTTCATATTAGTACAATGAAATAAAGAGATCTTTTTAAAAATTCCAACATCAATCAATAGAAAAAGAACAAAAGAGTCCAAAAATCAACAGAGGTACGCAAAAATAATAGTCTGAAAATGATTCCAGATTGATAAACAACACTAAGAAATACACTACGTCTGACCTGATGCTTCACGTGTCAAAAGCTAAGATAACAGGACGATTAATGAAAGCTGTTGGTCCAATATAAAGGAATTATGATTATCATTTTGTGCACCGACAGACAAATATACAGCAATGCATGTCGTTGGGGAAAACAAAAGAAAACAATTTAAAAAACCCAACCAAATGAGGAGAACCCCCATGATATGACAATGAGCACCAGAGAAATGAGAAACACTTGAACCAATAAAAACCCAAACCAAACAAACATGACAGGAGGCAAGTAAACAAGAGTTTGAGGTTCGTCTCCAAACAAGGAAAGATACGAAATGAGAGGATGTTTTCCGGTAACCGATTAATTCCTTTTGTGAAGTGCAGTTCAGAACATGTAGAGAGTTCCATGGTAAAATGAGCATCATTATGAAGAGGGCGTTGTGTTGTACCGTCTCTGTTACACCGTATGGAATCGAAAAAAAGCGAAAAGAGACGATGCTCATGATGGATGAGTACAAGTTACCAATGTCTGCAGACTGCCATACACAAATTATGTAGTAAACTCAGGCACATCTACTTTAAATATGATGTAAAAAAAAAAATACAACACAAAAAAACCACTCCATGCGAACAGTAACAGTCGCACCAATGAAAGAGAAAACAAAAACAAACCAACAAAAAAAATAAACATAATCAAACAAATCAGTTGTTCAAGTTCAAAAATGCTCCTGGGGACAATAATACTCTTTACACGCTCAGTGATTGTATTTGTAATGTAAACTAATGCTGCTTGGTTTGTGAGAACGCTGTATTTACAGCATGAATGGTACAACTGAAAGACTACAACAAATGTGACAACAGCTGAACTGACTGGTACGTTCATTACGATTCAGCCACACAGTCTTTTGTTTCTAGCTTGTCTTCATACACAAAAAGTAAAGACCGCAAACATTCCACGAACAGTAAGCGCAAATACATTTAGAGACAGAAATAAGAAATGCAATGCAGAATCTATGAAGAGAAGATTCATGAATCTCCCAAACAACTAAACACCTTATTAAATTACATTTTCTTCAGTTGGGGGTTGGGGAAAGGGTGAAAACGTCGGGTCAATGACAGGGTTCATTCCCAGTTGTTCAGGAAAAGGAAGAAAGGTATCCTTGTCCCCGTTTTATTGGCTTTGCTTAACTATCGGAATAGTGAAACCACACACAACACTTAAAGCCAACAATCCTAATCTACAATTTAAATTCAACACACTAAATCAACCAATTATCTAAAACCACTAAAGTTATCTTTCATTGCATAAAGAGACAGTGTCCGAAGTGGGTTTTTTTTATCAAAGCGCCGACTTAGTAAGCTAAAGGCATATCGGAAGTCTCAATTTAATTTCATTACGCCTCTATGATGGGGGATTCAGTTGCTACACTTATCTAAATTATCGGCTTTCAATTAAATGTATAAAATGTCTAGTAATTAGTTGTCCTGGCAATTCATGGCCATTCCAGAGAGGCCAAAAATAACTAATCAAACCGCGATACAATGAGACCACAATTTAAAATTACTGTGATATCTTTTCTCCCGAGAAAGAGGAGTCTGTGCTAAATTGGATTGGAGAGACATTCACGCCTGGAAAGTATTCTAACTACGGCCTGGGTTTTTTTCTACTGGAAAGTAGAATCTGACACAATATCACTCAGCCCAGTAAAATTACGTCGTCTGGATCAGGGTTTTCTTTCGTTAGAAGGGCAATAAAAAAAAGACAATCCGCAAGTTGGAATAGTGTAAACGTAACACGAACTTTCGACTATGAAACGGCAACGTCGGACGTTACGCATATTTAACCACTCAAGCCTTAACCTTAAGCATTGATAACTAATTTATAGAGAAAGTAGCCACCCACACATAGGAGCCCAGTCTCTTTCTCCTCTGTATGTCAATTTATTATCTTTTACTCGTGTAACTTTATACATACTGTATCTGTGATTTCTAATCTGGAATTATCTTAAACTTCTTTTACCCCAAAGTGTAATACTAATACCCTCTCCCCCCTCCCCCTTTCCCCCTTTTAAACAAACATTGAGACAAGATGGCAAGGCAACGCCATCACCAACAACAACAGTCAAGCCACACGACCTGATCCAGGGAGCAGCAAGCACTCAGTAGTGGTCACCCTGCATGTCTGACCGCGCGCCAATCCGCAGCAGTCTCTGGTGCTCTCGGTCGTGCTCCACCAGGAGGTGCTTGTCGTCCTTCAGCTTGAGCCGGTGGGCCTGGAGACGCAAGTAGCTCTCCTCTCGCTGGGCGTGCACCTGGACAAAGATAAACATGATGACAATAATAACAACAACAAGTACAACAACAACAACAACAACAACATGATTGATTGATTGATTGGGTAGATGTTTTACGGCACTATCGACACAATTTTTGTCATTTAAACAACAACAACAACAAACACAATGAGCACAAAGAAGAAGAAGAAGAAGAAGAAGAAGAAGAAGAAGAAGAAGAAGAAGAAGAAGAAGAAGAAGAAGAAGAAGAAGAA